AATCCTTTGACTTGCAAGTTAGTTGCAGCAATCTACTCAACTTCGTTATCTCTTGCTCTAACGATTGCCATCCATTGTCCCGTAAAATTCAGCATTGGTCATCCAACCATGAATTTGGTCAGCAGATCAGTGTTCGAGATAATGAAATTAACAGCAGCATCACTGTCCGTCTGAGGCACTGGAAGATCCTTCACAGTCCAAAAAGAATTTTACTGGGTCACTGTGTCCATTTCCGTGTCAGTGGGTTGTGTGGAGGAATATCTTCCAGGAATGAGATATAGTTGAGGATATCATGACATTTTAATGCTTGTCTGGGAACTGCATCGACGATTTTAAGAGAAAAGAGTGGTTCCGCATCGTTGTGACAACAAAGAGTCCTCGATGTCTGAATTACCAATCTTCAGATGTCTGGACAGAAATAGGCCCTTCAAGCTTGAGATTCAATTTGTAATTCGTATTTGATATTCGATTTCTAGATTGCTTTTATTTTTTATGTTAATGATGATAGTTAAGAATTTACATTTTTTTATGATTCAACAAAGCGTGAGGAATAGGAACTGGAATCCCTTTTCAGTTAACTAAAAATTTCAAAAAGTCAAACGAATTCACAAAATGTTTCCCAAATAAAAATGCTGAATAGAAAATCGCAATTGAATCGAAGAGCATAATAATATGATTTGACTTTTTTTTCAATACTGTTACACAAACTGTGCACTACAATTAATCAGAGAGGAATTTCGTGGTCAGGATTATCTTCAATTCTAAGCAAGTTCTTAGAACATAAAATGAACTCTGATCTCATTTAGAGTTTTTCAAAATTCGTTTAGAAGTTTCAACTGGATAGAAACTCTTCCCTGTAACACTCGTTACAGCTGCCAATATATTGCGCGAAATTATTATATACTTTCCCTGGGCATTTTTTATGTAATGTGGAGATGTATTCATACTTTGCCGGTTTATCCCCTGGCGTTCTATAGAATACATATGCAGTGGGCGAAATGAAAAATGTTCTTTATACAGGTATTTCTTTATGCCAGTTTGTATTGGCTGTATCAAATTAGAAATAGAGAAGAGATATTTTTATTAAGCTGGTCTTTAGATATAGCAGTTGTAAACTTTGGAATTTCGCACGTTTACTGCGAAAGTTTCTCGAATTTCCTCATGCTTTCTGTGGTGATATAAGTGGTTAGCAAAGTCAGCTAACAATTCAAACATCTGCAGTTCGAATCGCGGGAAGACACTTTTAAATTTTTTAACATTTCTCACTTTCCGAAAGCCACCGGACAAGTTTCCTGAACACTGATATCATTGTTTGGTGCAATATATTATTAACCGAAAAGTTAAAGCATTTTATCATATGTAGTTGAAATGTTTGATAATCACTAAATTTAAAACATTTCAGTATTAGTGCATGAAAAATTACCAAGCTAAAAGAAAGCAAGAAATACACGTTTGCTATAAAACTACAGTCACGTGGAAAAGTTTAAGACCAGTAACCGTTTTCCTATATTTTAACAGATTGCACCATTTTCTCTTGTAATTGCGTTATCTCATGCGTTGATTGCATCAAACGCTTTCTACTGCTATAAATATAACATGGTCTCATTTATCAGTAGTTCGTTATTGAATTTTGTGTACACAGTGCTGTTGTATAATTCTTGTAAAGGGTAAAAAACCTTGGCTCTAGTGTAGAATTAGGTTCTCCTTCGATTAGCGACAATTTTTTTTAAATTTTTGCGATGAAACCTCACTTCTGGTTACCATGATAGTTTTAACTTTGTTTTAGCTTCCTGATTTTATTTAGATGAAAATACATTGATGTGCACATGGAGTAGATTATGAAATGAAATATTTAGATGAAAATAGATTGATGTGTACTACAAATTTAAGGCAGTGCGCAATAACCTAGTTTGTGCAATTCTAGGATGTTTTTTAAGTGAAAACAGATCGATGTGTACATGGACACAGAGTTTGTGAAATTCTTTGACTTATTTTGGTTTTATGTAGCAGCCATCTTAAAATTGGGTCTTCCTGGCGCCAATCTTGGCGTCAAAAAAGAATCGCCAAAAAACAAGGGGCACCCAATTGTAAACTTTTACCAAAACCTTTACTTACCTGTTGAAAAACGGGCAAAAATAGTGGCCCTTCATTGAAGGTGACTTTTCTGAACGTGAAATAAATTAAGGTAAATATTAGTAAGACAGGCGTGCATCAATCTATCAGTAAATTCAAAATTTCGGGAAATTATACGGATCTTAAGAGAAGCGGTCGTCCAAGAAAAACTTGTGCACGTAATGATCGTGTGATAAAAAGGATGATCACTCGATGTCCAACAACCTCCTGCAATAAAATTACAGCTGCTCTGGCTGCAAAGGGTACCGACGTCAGTTCGTGTACTATTTCAAGACGTTTGACTAAAGATTATGGTTTATTTTCCTATAAACCTGCAAGGAAACCTCGACGTACTCGAAGCATGAAAAAGAAACGACTGACTTTCATCAAACAATATCAGAACTGGACCGAACATATATACGATTCCAACAGTGAAACGCCCTCCAAACCAGACGATATGGGATCAATGTCTGCGTCTGGTACTGCTGCTGCATATTTCCTGCCACCTAAAACCACAACGAACGGCAGTCGGCACCTTCATTTGCTGCATGTCAAGTTGAAGCTTCACTTGAATGTTCACAGATGTTCAGTTTTCATGTATGATGGGGCTCCGTGTCACAGGGCAAGGAATGTTAAGGACTCTCTGAAGGCTACTCAAACCAAGTGCTTGACTTGCCAGGTAACAGCCCAGATTTGAATCCTATAGAGAATCTGTTGTGCATTGTGAAAAATAAAGTCGTGGAGAAGATACCATCCAGTGCTGAAGAACTTGTTGAATCAATAAAGCATGTGTGGTGTGCAGAGATTTCTCAAGCTTATAGTCAGTCTCTTGTTCATAGCATGCCTAAAATGATTGCAGCAGTGATAAAAAATAAAGGAGGTCCGACAAAATATTGACTATACTTCAATATCCATGCAAGTCTATTTTTTTCCTTCATAACATATGTTTTTAATGCGGAAAGGTTGAATTCAGGGCACTGTTTACTGGTTTTATGGTTGCTTCCTTGGCATATTTAACGACTAATTCATTACCATCGATTTTTACATGGCTTTGAACTCAGTGCAAGGACAGTACCTCTGGCATCTTTTTTAGGGCAAATAAAGAAAGACAGAAACGTGCATCCGACATTAAGAAATATTATTAAATGTATTATTATTTTTCACTCAGTCAAAACATATAGCAACGTGCATTATGAAATAGCTATTAGAGGTTAATTGTTTTATTTTTTACCATACAACACGGCACGTTTTCAATTGGAAATACAAGTTTATTTAGCATTGACAATCGAAGGCCATTGATGCTAAAATATGACTATAAGTTATCTTTTCTGCTAAACATGTTTATGGAAATATTTAGATATTTTTATACTAAGTTCTTTGAAATGTTTTTTCTATAATCTACCAGGAGATTCAGTTCATTTCAGCTGATTTTGGATGAGGACATCCTGTAATGGCTAACAGGTATTGCGTCTCATCAATCATTGACTGCACTTTTTAATAATAACCAAATTGTTAACATTTTTCATATTACAATACGTAATTTAAATGTGCAAATTTTAAAACATGAAAGAAAAGTACATGAAATAGGCGTAAAAAACTAAAATTAAAATGAAATACAATTGTATTAAAAACAAAATTTATCAAATTCGCAGTTCATTGAGTCCATAAAATTTGATCAAACATCGAACATCATACAAAAATGTCATAAGCTCTTAATGAAGCCTTTATACATTATGCTCATAAAAGAAAGTTACTGCATGTGGGCATAGAAATAAAGTCATGACATTTTAGAAGATACAGGGAGGCCAAAATAAAGCTGGCTCAGAAAACGTGTAAATCCTAACTCTAAAATTACTCTCGTTAATGAATAGAATTGTCCTTCACTACAGAGCCTATTTTGTGCCATTTTCTTATCAAGGCATCATTTTTATGCAAATAGAATGGATAGTGTGAGTATTTCTGAAACATGTACTACGTACAGATATTCCAATGTATTATTTTATCATGTAAATAACAATGAACTGCACCATGGGAAAATAGACTTGTTTAAATGAATAACACGCAATAATTTCGAAATTTTCTTTTAAAATAAATAAGTGCAGAAAAAAATGCGAAGCTTTCAGATTTTATATTACTCCCAAAGGGGCATTTTTTTAACGTTTTGTGTGTTACCTTTATATATTAAATATCACGTCTTTCGCACTTAAACCATAAAATTCAGTTCAGCAGCAATATCACAAAAATATTTAAAAAGAGGATATCCTTAGCATTTTCGATACACAGTCTCGCGCACTGGAAACAAAAATGCTTTTTTTTTCGTAGTGTTGCCATTGCTGGCTTTGAAATCGTTGAGTTTATTAGTCAAAAATTAGTTAAAGTTTTTTAAAATATGAAATAGATAATAAAACACATACCAAATCCCAAATTTGGCCTTTCAGATGCCCATAATCGAGTGGAGGACTACGTTATTCAAAATTTGATATCTCTAGGTACCATTGTTTTATCACAATGCCAGAAACGTACATACATTCAAGCAGATGCCTCATTATTTAATTTCTTTATATGTAATGCAAGGCTCTAATATTTGGTGGCAACAATATGAAAAGTGAAACGCCGTTTTGTAGTGGACGACGCAAAATGGAAAAACGAAATTAATAGTCCTATTGGACAAATTGCACCTTTTAGCTAATGAAACGCTTTCGATCAAGTTAAAAAATGTATTTCAACATTTGTTACTGTGTAAGGTTGTTTAATATAAGTTTTTATTTAAAATGAATGTAAAAAAGTTTTCCTTTAATATCGTTAATAGAACTGATAACATGTTTATAAACTGATAGATGCGAAACATGAAGTATACCATTCTAACGTTTTTGTTGTATTTTTTGCAGCATGTCTATTTTATCCTTTGGGAGAAAACAGACGATTCGAAAGGGTGGAAGAAAATATCGCTGTTGGTAAGAAGCTGTTTTGTTTTATTAATTTTTCATGTATTAGAGTAGAATTTGCATGTGCATTTTTTTCTTTAGCTGTAAGCGAAGTCAGCATGAAATATTTACATTGTTAAAATGTTACTTTAATGGATAAACAAAAATTTGAATTATTCTTTAATGTGATTTTATGTATGTATTAATTTATAAGGTCCAGAGGATTTATCCAAATTTATTCGACTCTGAAGAGCTAAACAAACATTGCCATTGAAGTTATCCATTTCTGTTTCATGGAATTGAATCACAGGTGCTATAAAATTCAAAATTAAAATTCCCGAAATTTCAAGCCTTTTTATTGGTCAAAATAGAAATCTCATATTAAAAGGATTTTATTGGCAGCAGTCAAAATGCAATTTAGCGTTTGCTGATGATTCAGAAAATGAGAAATTATCGGTAAAATATTTTAGCTGCCAATAATTCTATTTAACACTATATATTACTTATGAATGCTTGCGAAAGTTAAATCTAAGCCCCAAATGAAAACAAAAGTTAACAAAATCCTGCTTTGAAATTTGTGAAAGGTATAGAAAACATCGATATAGTGCATCTACGATAAATGACTGGAAATTAAAATAACCTCGAAAAGTATTCAAAATACATTCATTAGTGAATAATGGATGCTTTTAATCACTGTGATTAGACGAGAGAATTTGAAAATAGCTTGTCACCATTACTCAGAGCTGTCTTTAGTCAGGTAATTACAATAATACAATGAATCTGCTAATGTTCTTCAAATGATATGTTGGAACATTTACGATGTATAAGGTAATCGTAAATTATTGTACGAAACTAAATGCTTGCGTGTATTCACTGTTGTATACCATACGTCTACGAAATTTTAGGAATAAATTTCTGAACAATTTCCAGCAAACCTACCAGACAGTATTTATTACTTTGACATCTCAGCTCGCTTTTCTTAAAATATCGTTTGCTTCCAGAAAGAATATTCTATGATAGACATCAGCAACCTATCACCCCCGGGTCATCGAATGATCCGATTCATAATTTCAGGTGACCCATTTGAGTTCCGAAAATAAAGTATAATATATAAAAATAAATTATAAAACGTAAATATGAAACGAACAATTGAAGAATGCATAAAAAGTTAAACTGCAAATAAATAATATACATTCAAGAATACATAAAAAATAAACTGCAAATAAATAATATGCATACAAGAATCTATTAAAAATAAACAATATACATACAACAATGCATAAAAAAGAAGAATACATAAAAGAGTAAACTGCAAATAAATAATATACATACAAAAACGCATAAAAAAGAAGAATACATGAAAGAATAAACTGAAAATAAATAATGACAATAACATTTTTGTTTATTACAAAGTTGCAGTAACGAACATGCATTTTTAAAAAGTGTAACATAATTTCAAGGAGAAATCGATAAATTTAGCAACGCGGATCCGTGAGCCATAATTTCCCAAAAGTTAGCTTTGCCATTTTGTCCGCCTTCGATTAACTTATAAATGTCAGCAAATATTTGTTTTAACTAATAGCGGGCCCTCAGTCGACTTCGGCTTGACCACTACTAAGACTAGAATTGGTAGTCACTTTATTATGGAGGCATCTAATAGGTGGGCCACCTTTGCCTCCTATGAAGGGACGAACAGTTACAACCATGTTTTCTCCGGGATTCGAACTCAGGCCTTTTGGTATTGTAATCGAATCCTGTAACCACTGCACTGTCTGGGAGACATGCTTGCAAATATTTTCACATGAAATTTATTGTAAGTAAGGAACAGGAGCAGCTTAACTACTGAAGATTCAGATGTTTATATTCGTCTTAAAATCCTTTGAGCGGCCAGAGTTTTCGCTAAGAAAGCACCAATTTCCCAAAACTACAATGAGAACAAATTATTTTTTGATTTTAATGTAAAAGCTCTCCTGGTATTTCATACCTGGATTTGTGTACTTTTGATATATTGCCTCAATTTCTTTGCCATATTTTAATATGCACGCATATATACGTTCTTACAGATATCACAAAAAATATTCTAGGCCGTATATATACGGGCTTGCCGCTTACAGGGTTAAGACGATTAACTGTAAGCCAGACTTAATAAATTGATGTCACAAGTTTAGTATGCCGCCCTGACGAGAAAGTGGTTAGTAACTCTGTCTGCCGTACCGAAGAGCCTGGGTTCGAATCCCGGAGAAAGAACGGATGTGCGTTCATAATAAAGAGATCACCGCTTCAGTAGTAACCGACGCCTATTAACAGCTAGAGCCTACCATTGGAAAAAACAATGTCCGGAATGGCGAAGAGTTGAGTTTCGAAAGAGGTATTCCCGGATTCCAAAAATTCGTGGAAAGCCATTTCGACCATTCTCATCTTCGTACGACTTAAATCAGCCGAGATAGTAATTAAAAACTCTGAAAACGGTAATTTTCGCACTCGCTTTTCCAAGTGGCAACAGTTTCGCGCGCTGGAGGTAAAAATGCTTTATTTCGAAAAGTGCTGCCACTGCTCGCTTTCAAATCGTAGAGTTTGTTAAATAAAAAGTTCGCAAGTTTTTAGAAAATATTAAATAGAAATATCATTGCCAAACATTAAAATATTATTATTACATAAGGTCATATTCTGAGTTGAAGAAAGCACGCAATTCGGTGTGACGTGATTGTCGTGGAAAATGTTCCGTTAATGTCAGCATTTTCAATAAATAGCTGCTGTTGACAACGCTTTTGTTTCAGGTTCGAATAATTGGCACAATATATTACAGCCACGCTAATTCTTTTATTGATAATGAGAAAAGTTGTTCTATACGTCAAATTTAAATCATAACGTCATACGTATACGTATTAACTGAAAAGTAAGAAGTTTTTGTTTCCTGATTTGGCAACAAAAAATTACTTACGAAGTAGTTGTTGCTTGAAAAGAATGGACTGATTTCATTCACATTATTAAAATGTTTTTATGCATTTTCTTTTCAGGTGCCCATAGAATTTATAAATTTTGCTTTGCACGCAAACCGCTCATCTGGCGAGCTTGCCCCCTAGTAGTAACACTAAGATTTGTTATTAAAAATTAAGAGAAATAAAATAAACTTCCTGCATACTAATCATTTCCTCCTGATGTCAGTTTGAAAAACCCGAAATTGATATATTTGCTGCCAAAACAAGATTAATTTAAAGATTAAAAATAAATTCTACTCTAATTATGTTGTCGTGCTTCGGTATTATGAATATTGAAAAGCGAGTTGTATACCTGACACAGAGATTAGATTTTTCCTCAAACTTGTTACCATAGCTGTCAAACACAATTTTTTGCATAGTTCTTTACCACATACAATAAAAAAAATCACAATGCTAATGAACCACAATGATTTTAAATAGGTTAATTTTTATTTTACAGAAACATTATAACAACATGAATGGAATTTTCATGCGAAAGAAAAAATATATCATTGAAGACCCGAAACGCTATTATTAGAAACGTCCCATTCTATTGCCCAAAACTCATTTTTTACACATTGAAACAAACACAAAGCAAACTAAAGAGAAGTGAACGAATTCAATTACGTAAAGAATAACTAGCCGCTGGAAGTAAGTTGAAGCATTGTTGTTATTAATGAGATAAATCTTCTTTAAAGACGTGAGTTTTTGTAAGTTTTTTTTAATTAGTTACCGGAACTAATGAGGAGAATTTATATAATGTGCGTGTGTTCTAATTGCTTGATGGGAATACAGCATTTCCTTTTCTAACTACGAGCATAATAGACATACTTAAATTTAGAAATAATGGCAGTGTTCTTAATGATTTTAAGCTATATGTATCAATGAAGAGAATTCAAGACGCTGTTTTCTTTAAAAACTATTATAATATATAAACCATTAAAGAAGCTACTTTAAATTACTTCTAAAACGTATCGTGATCTTATCATTTATACCAGCCCAGTGAAGCTGCATTGTAACGTCTGAAGACAAAGACAGTTACAATTAAAACGATGGTGATAATGATGCCTAAAATTATATACGAATTGCGTGACAATCAAATTTTCTCTCTTGGGATTCCAGCTAAAGAAATAGTTTATGAATATTTAACTCTTGACCTGGGCAGTAAATGAAGTGGACATCAGGATCTTGAGAGAACACCCAGGAGTACAAAATAAGAGATCAGGAAGTGGAGGATAAAATTGCAAAAGTTAAAATCCAGTTTTAAACTGGATTACAGTTTTGTCTTATTATATTATTATTATTATTATTATTATTATTATTATTATTATTTGGTTATCCATAGGTCTCGTCTTCGTCCCGGGGAGGGAGGATCCCACTTTTGTTCCTGTTTCTAAAAATAGTTAAGAATTTACTTAACCATTATTCAAGCCAAACTATATTTTATGTTAATCCTGCCAGACATTTTTGCGGAGACACGTTGATCGAGATTAACAAGGAAGTACAGAATGTATTAGAACTGTTTACATTCTGCGTTTGTTCTGCAGCATTAATTTTGCTCTGGGCGCTTTTTTGATAGCAGCAGATAACTTAATTTTTTTTTTTTTTTATTTTTCATCATTTTGTTCTCCTAGGCCCCCTTCGTAAAAACCTTAGGCCGATAACTCTTGTGCTTCGCCTAAATTAAATAATCCTCTTATGTCCAGTTGTCAATGAATAGTCATAAATTTAAAAAGGGGATTATATATTGGAAAAATGTTTGGTCTAAAGAGATTAAGTATTACGTCAAAGAATACAAAAAAAGTTGTTGCATGGAATGTTACACACTTTTTAACAAGACACTGAAAAATTTTTAAAAATTGAAATTTTGTGAGGAAAATATAAATAGTATGATTACATAAATAACTATCTCTTTAGACAAAAATAAGATTTTTTTGCGAAGAATTATTTCTGTAAAAAGAAAGAAGTTTCTTGAGTATTTTTCTGGGAAGAAATATTTTCTATTCGATATCTTCATGCATTAAAAACACGATTTGCTATTTTTCTTTTAACGAGCCGCCACTTAGCTTGGAACCTAAACATTGACGCGAAATCTACCTGAATGAAAACAACAACAACAATATGTAAAGCGTCACGAAAATAATAATTATTTTACTAAATCTGAAATGAATACAAAAAATCAGACAGGTATAAAAATACAAAATATTTAGGTTAATTTCAGATTACACAGGAGTAATAAAACAGTCCATTTAATTTAATGTTGCCATCTTTTTGTAATCGCTACCACAAGGATTCGATGCGGTTGGAATCTAGATTTTTGAAACCAGCACTTCACTGAAAAGTTTTCATATCAGAATCAGTAACGTTGTGTTTGTGTTTAACTTGCAGTATCTCATATCTGGCAGTTACCAATTGATCTGCTTTAAGTGACTGAAAAATCTATCAGAGAAAATTACCGGATTGATGTTTATTCTTCCCGTTTATTTCCCAAGTCGCCCGAACGCCTGCGACCATTTTCTACCTGGTACTTTCCCTCATCACGCTAATACATCGCTCCTTGGTTAGGGAAGCATAAATGACATGGCAGTCATTCTTTCGAAGCGACTAGAGTAGCCGTCTTTTTTGAATGCGTCTTCCCTCTTCCTTATTTAGCGTCAACATTTAGCTACTGATGATCGCAGTTGCAATCCTGTCCTAAGGAAAAACTGCACACAGTGGGTGAAATCGCATAAAGATCCCGAAAAACGAAGTAATCACTTCACCTAGCATTCTGCTTGGCAGGGAAAAGGAAATCCACTCCAACAGAAACTGCTATACACGGGAGTTTCAGGTGTTTGAGGAAAACCGATTTTGGCTTCTATAGTTTTGAGTTAAAAGAATTTAAAGTCTTTAATAACTGTTGCTCCACTTTTTAAAATTAAAAGCGCTTTAAAATTCTAGTTTAACAACTTTGAACTTCGTCTTTTCTATTTTTATATTTGTATCTTGTCAAAACATTCAGTTATATTTGCTATGCAGGTTTCCGAATGCTTTTGTAAAAAGTAATATTTAATAAAAGGGTTCACAGTTTACTAGAATGAGCAATAGTGTTTGAAATGTTTTGAGCTCAAGTCTACAACCTGTAAATTCTTTTCTGGACACGTATCATTCAGATCAGCGAAGCATTTCCACCATTAACGTTTTAAAGAAGCAAATCTCACGCTTTCTGAAGTTTTAAAATCATGCTTTTAAAATGACAAGTATATGAAAAACAAATAAAAAGAAAAGTTACCCTAAAATGCATAAAAGCTATGAAATGAGGTCTTTTTAGCTGAAACTTTGTATTTTACACTTGTCTTAAAATCACCTAGAAAATCTTAAAAAGCACTTAGGGCGATCTGCACGATGTGTCAAGCAGAAAATAAAAGTTTTTATTTTTACTTCAACTAAATACAATCAAAAAACGCATTTATTAAAAATGTCTCTGATCGTAAAGAGAAAACAGTCATTTATCACTGGGTTATTTCTTAGCTTAGTCCAGCTTTTCACACAGACGCTAAATTGTTGCTGTTAAAGAAGGGTATAAAAATGAGCTCAGCGCAATATATATTTATATTAATTTATGACTGTTTGGCAACGGTAAGAATTTAGCCATTTCTCAACATTTGATAAATATTTCTAAACTGAGAAAGTACTTTTTCGTGAATTTTTCATCTTTTCATCATCAATATTAATTTTTCACAAAGGGAAAAATAATGTATCTGTTATATAAAATATTATTTTATTAGGTTTCAGAAAAGCACCCTAATTTGAATTTAAAATTACAACAAAGTCAGCTTTAGATGAATGTTTTAATTTTAGATAAAATTCTATACATTTGGAACGTTTTCAAAGCAGAACTGTCTCATTATGAAACAGAAATATTCTATGTCATTTTCTTGCAATTAAACAACTTAAGATACGAGTAATTCATTGTGCAAAGATTCTACACTGCATATATATAAATTCAAAAAGGATTCAAATTTTAACGCTGCATAAGGATTTGTTAAGGTTTTTTTGTTTGAGCATCGAAGGTTATCGACTATTCTTGGACTCATTTAACACACTTTTTTTTCCCTTTTTAGCTAAATTACTAAAAATCGCTTTCTTCGCACTTACGCCACATAAAATTCAGTAACAAAATCACAAAATATTTAAAAACAGCGTATCCTTCAGATTCCAGATAGCGTGTTAGAGGCTTACATATGTATTTTTTATATTCGCTATAATATTTCTTTAAAAATTAGCCTCTCGAGCGGCCAGCAGTCTAAAAGAGTTATCATAAAAAAGAAGTATATATATGTGATGTACCAGCTTTAGTCGTAGCTTAAATTATCAGACGATAAGTTTTTTTTAAAAAAAAAGATCCATTTATTATTATTCAGGAGAAATAGCAGTTAAAAAATAGCAGTTACAAAATCAGACATGCGGAGTAAATAAAAGGAATTACTAATAACTTTTTGTATGAAGTTTACTGCATCGTGACATTTAAGAAAAAGCCCCCGATATTTCTTTGCGAGTCCTTTTATAGCCTCTGGAAAGGCGGAGCTTCAAAGAAATGACGTCAGCCAATCCAGTTCGCTTTAAATAGTTCCAGAACATTCTATAACTGTACGTGTAGAAAAGGCGGGAAAAACAACTTGACTACGGGGCTGTGAATTTAATTCCACGTACTTTCAAATAAGAGACCGTCACCATTAAAAATGAAAAGAACATACAGTTAGAAATTTAAGTGTAATTTGGAATGGAATTTTATTACATATATATGACTATAATTAGTGCTTTTCATAAAAACATTTACTATTTCTAGTCGGACAACTCATGATTTAAATGCATTTTTATTTAAATCAATCAGATTAAAAAGTAGAACAAATATTTTTAAGACCTTCGTTGATTGCTTTTCGATTGCATTTGCTAGTCGGTAAAAGATTAAATTTGAAAGTTAAATATTTTACGCTTTACTGAATGACAGCACGCTGGTGCGTGGAGTTAATAAGTATTCTATTAGAGGCAGGGGCTATATATTGCATTCAAAGGTGAATTTGGGGATTAAAACTGAAAGCTCTTGCATGTTCATCACTGTCTTGCGTTTTGCGGAATGGCAATAGTTTGGTGGACTGGAGATAAAAAGGTTTTATTTTGAACAATGTTGCCATTTCTTGCTTGCAAATCGTTGAATTTTGAAACAAAATTTCGTTATATTAAATAAAATATGAAATAAATCAAAAATAAATTCTGGCTTCGAGGTGCCCATGTTCGGCTGGAAGTATACGCGCATTAAAAATTCGGTAGCTTTAGGGGCTGTCGTTTTTCCACAATGCAAAGAACATACATACGTACATAAAGATTCTTCATTATTTAATTTGTTTAACTAATATGTTGTGATAAAATTTAGTAGAAACAATTTGAAAAACGATTCCGACACAAATCTGAGTTTCGGGATCTAGTATTGTGTCTATTAATTTTAAACCATAACACTAATTTTTGAGTTAATATACAACTATTGAATGAAAGCTATAATTTATTGTTGCATATTTAGATAGAAACTATTAGAAAAAATATATTACATAAGAAATATTGGAAACCGGAAACAATATCCATGGTTAATGTAACATTACAGGAAAATAACTCGTATAATAATTAACAGAAAAATACTGCTAACAATTTACCTGTACCTTTTTACAGTTTACAGACCACAATAAGCTGATCAGGTTATCTAAGGCCTACCAGCGGCCGAGCTGTGAAATCGCGGAACATTTTTAGTTCGACCTGGGGTCGAGCCTGGCGAGCGGGCAGGCTGCATGCTTTTCCCCATGGGCAACGTGGATACGAGCTAGTTTCCCTTAGAAAAACTTTCACGAAGGCGTCCCTCCCATTAGGCAGAAGCCCTGACGTGCTTTGCTGTAATCAAATAAACCAATCAACTAGACTAATTCAGAAGTCAAACAACAAAAATCAGCGTTATATTTTCAAAATTTTCACAGGACTAGTTTCGATGGTTTTACCGAACCACCATTTTCGGTTTTGCAGCTGAGGATAGTGGTTCGGCAAAACCATCGAAACTAGTCCTGTGAAAATTTGAAAATATAACGCTGATTTTTGTTGTCTGACTTCTGAATTAGTATTTGTTCGGCGTGTTATTGTGTTTCAACTAGACTAGGTTACGTGAATTGAAATAAAAAATAATCAAAAGAAAAATTATAAAAGACATTAAACAACAACATTTACAAGAGAATTTTAACAATCTACCGAGTGAAAATGCTCGCAAAAATCTCAATTTGAACTTTGGCTCTTTACTGTGTAATATTTCATATATTCCGGATTACCTACAGTTATATTATGCATTGTTGTGAACAAAAACAACTCCCAAAATTTGCGGCATCATCTAACTCTCTTTTCGTTTTTGCATTTGCCGTAGGCAGTTTTGTTTTAGACTGTTAGTTTGTGATAGTCATTTTTACATCATTTCGCAAAAAATAAACGTAGCGTTTTTGCAGAACAAAACATCATTAAACCTTAAACTGGCTAATTCCTCTCCCTCCCTACTTAATCGGGAATTGAAAATGCCTATGCAAAAACAACATTCGACATAATTGAATCTCTTCTATTATTCTAGATATATCATTCATTTTATGTGCTTGTAAATTTTAACGATATTTCTTTGCTTTTCTTTCACAGGTAGCGAAGTATTTAGGGTTCAAGTCTATCCAAGGCATGAGTTCAAGCTTGAGCCGGTTGATAACAGTCTTAGTGACATCAACTTCTTCAGGGTCGACGGACTGGACAACCAGACCGTCTCTATCAAAGTTGCAAGGTCACTAGAAGATCTTGTCGACAGAGTAAGTCATGCATGGATATCGAATCTCTTCAATTTAAGAAACTTCTAAACAAAATTTCGCAACCCCCTTGTCTGTTGCAGTGATGAAAGGGAAGCTCATTATCTTTAATCACCGAAAGCCGCTCAGTTTTAAATTTTAGCATTGATATTTTAAACAAATGTAGAAGATGGTCTAATGTTGTCAAAAGAAGAAAATTATACATATATTTAGAAATCCGCGGTGAATAATAATGAAACATTTTAAAAATTTATTTCGTATCTCTCAGGATATAGCTTCATTCTCTACATGCGGTCTGTAGTTAGCCATCATTATATTATATGTGATATTATGTAATACAATGGTGGGTCTTGTTTGCATGAAAGATTAAAAAACATGTAAATTAAAATCCAAGTTTTAATTTTCAATAGCTCCTTAAGTCTCCTATTTAATTTTGTTCCCCATTTCTATCTAAAAATAGTAATATACCTAAAATAAATCTCTTTAAACTGCTTCATTTCAAAATTAATACTGACTACATGATTCTTGAGTAACGCTTCAGCGATTAATAATATTGAAATTTACGATGAGAAACATGTTTAGCCGGTAGGGATGATGTAAAACTGCAACTTATTCATTCTTAACCAAACTTTCATATTGGAAACTTCACATTTCATCTTCGCTTTTCATCTAGATAGCAAGCTTAATGTCGGCTGCTGCTCTTTTATGCTTCAAATTTATTACAAAAATGTAAAATATTACTGAAACTGTTCGAAAACAGACGCAATTCTTGCGTCGGCTTAGCTGTACATGTCTGTGTCGAGAATTGTTTTAACAAAAAATAACATCTTTCAATCGGCCACGATTGCAACTATGTCCTTGTGATCGGCTTTCATCTTGGATATGAACATAACTATTAAAATGATTTTATTCCATATATATAGTCATATATAGTTATATGTAAACTATAAAAAATACGATGGATTTGCTCTACGCGAACAGGCAACCTCTAATAAACTTTCCGCAATTTCAGCATCTTCCTCCTAGACCAGTACTATCGAGAACATTCTGGCATGTTATGCAACAGCTAGTATAAATACAGAGTTCGCGCCATTTTTCGTCAGTCTGCTTTCTTCTCCTGCTGCTACCAGACCTTTGCTCCTGCTGATATCAGACATTCTTCCCACCTGTCTCTCTTTGTTCGAATAGTATGACGCAGTAAATTTAATCTTATTTACCTTAAATCACAATTGAATATGTAATTTTGGAGAATTTAATCCAAAGTAAGAATGATCTTCTGTGAGAATTGAATGAAGATGGGGATCTTCCAAAGTTTTCTTTGTCGTTCCTGTGCTTGCCTGCCAAAATATTACATATATATGTAGAAACTTAAAGCATCGAAAATTAAAATTAAATTGGAATCAAAACAAGGCAATTCCCTAACAATATTAATAATTACAACAACGGATAGAAGGTCTAGCATTGCAGCTAAATATAATATTTTTGACATATTACTATGTTTATCTTTGTATATATATGACATGTGTTGAAAATAAAATTTAGAAGCACTGAAGCAGGAATACTGAGACGTAGAAATGCAGAAATACCGGTAGCGTAGATACTGGATGCTTAAAGTGTCGATCCATACTGAAGACGAAGAAGTCGAGGCGAATTAGATCCCATTTTTTATTTAAATTCATATTTGTGGTTACAATTCATTTGGCACTCTAACCGTGCCTATTCAAGCACATTTACATTTTTGACTACTATTGTGAGAGAAGGAAAGCACAGCGGCGTCCAAGCAGCACAGAGGGTCAAGTTAAAAGTACGCATTTATCCAATATGGCATTCTGTTAAGAGAAAGGTTTTCAAGTTAGGAAGGTTTCAGTTCTCAGAGTTTAGGTTCCGAAATAACTACGTCATCAGCGTTACGGAAGCTCTATGGCACAGACTAATCTAGAAATGACGCAGTCCAGAAAAGTTATTATTATTTTTAGAATAAACCAAATTAAAAAAGTGGAATTAAAAGGCTATTATTAAACTAAATTATAAAGCTGATGTACATATTTTTTATATCTTACATATATGTACTTTTTTCTCCCTCGGAAAGGAAAGATTTCACATAGAAAGGTTCCATCTATTGTACAATAGCTTCGAGCATATCTGCTCCAATTCTGTTTACAAATAAGTTGCAAAGTGTCTAAAGACGCCTTTTTGAGTTTCTGAGTCAAACTCGTTTTGTTTTCCAATATGAATATTATCACCAAATTGAAGGATAAACATGAGTAGTTTCTTTAATCCGGTACTTACTGATACTTTTATGCACTATTTTGAGATCAAATTATTTGAGAAACTATTTATCTTTGAAGCTCTGGCAACCATTCTTCTATGAATTTCATGGACAAAGCAACAACAATAACTTAATTTTCCAATTTACGTAACTATTACTGCCGACAAATGGCCCTATCTTCTCTTTCCCTTTACTCCTTGTGAGTCTAAATACAATCGCGGCTTTCCCTTCGTTGCATATTTCTTTGCTTCTGATGAAGAGTGACCTGTACCTGTTTGTCCTCGATATCTATAGAGATTTATTAAAACTTCAAGATTTATTAAAACTTACGCCAAACAAGGTTTTTGCTTTTCTAACTTTATGATCAAAAGATGTATTTGTCCTCTTCACCCCAAGAGACGACTGAACTATTCGGGCTCAAATGCAGCTACAACTCCAATGGTCCAGCTGTCTAGTTAAAGGTAAAAAGTAAAAAAAAAATAGCCATTAATTATTTATGAAAGAAAATTTGCATCATTTCCTTCAAAACATAGAATGCATGGAACTAACGATCTAATATTTAACATTTGCTTTTAATTACGTTATATTCGTGAGCTTATGTAATAATCAAATAAAGTAAACCTAGACATTACAGAGCATGAAAATGATCCGTAAGGGAAGAATGCTCGTAGTCTTTAAAATACATGCATTAACCTTCGAAAAGGCGATAGAAGTGCTTCCGAAATTCTGTTTTGGATTTTGCGGATAAAAATTCGCTGTTGAAAGTAATCTCAAATCTACAAATATTGAATACGTAAGCCATACCAAAAGCCGCGTGCTTTGTGCAACTTTCACGTATATAAGCTTTCAAGAATTCGGAGTCTTTTTTTTTTTTTTTTTTTTTTTTTTTTTTTTTTTTTTGATTCTTTTCAAAAAGAATTCGAAACTTTTGCCATCTCCAGAGTACGTGGTTGTATTCGATTTTCTTTTTTCGAGTAGGAGTAACATTTCATTGAATAAGTAAAGAATGGAGAAAGGATTTTTTAAGGAGTTCTGGAATATTGCTTTTGTGTTGGGATTTTTTAAAGCAAGCTTTATCAAAGTTTATATAGGAGCTAGATATTATACAGCGGAAATTAACGCTTTGGAGAAATATTGATTTTTAATACAAGAGAAGTTACACAAGAGAAGTTTTAATACAAGAGAGTACATATTAAGAAAAGTTTAACATGCCCTTTTTCTTAAGTTAAATAAGCCATGTAATATTAGTATATAGTAAGAACTCCAGATATACGAACTATTTAGAGCCACACTCTGTCAGAATATCCAAATTAAAAGAAAAAAAAATCTGATTGCTTTCAGATTTTATATTACGCCCAAAGAGGCATTTTTTAACGGTTTGTAGATTGCCTTTATTTATTAAATGTCATGTTTCTCGTACTTAAACCATAAAATTCATCAGCAATATCGCAAAATTATTTAAAATGGGCGTATCTTTAGAAATTCAGGTACAACGTCTCGCGCGCTGGAGATAAAAATATTTTCCCCCATACAATATTACCATTGCTGGCTTTGAAATCGTCGAGTTTGTTAATAAAAAATTCATTAAAGTTTTACGAAATATGAAATCGAAAATAAAACAAATTTCAAATTTGGGCTTCCAGATGCCCATATTCGGGTAGAAAGGTATGTTATTCAAAATTCGATGCCTCTAGAGGTACCGTCGTTTTATCACATTGCGAGAAACATACATACATTTATTCCAGATTCTTCATTATTTAATATCTTTAAATATAATACCGGGCTGTAATATTTGGGATCAACAGTTTGAAAAGTGAACCGACATTTAAAGTTTTCAACGCAAAATGCCAAAACGAAATTAATTGCACTTGTGGGCTAACACCCTTTGGGTAACAAAATGAAGCATAAAGGAGTTATATATTTTTAAAAATATTATTGATTTAAAAATGTATTAAACAATTTTAATGCATTTTGTACAATTTTGTACAATTCCTTCCTTACTACATGATACTGCTTTATATCAATAACAATTAATTATCAATGTCATTTAATATATTTTTTTCATTGAGATCTTTATTATGCCGATCAATTGCGATTTCACATTCTATTGACATTTTGATTATTATTAACCTCCTTAAAAATTTTATCGACCCCTAGCGGACTCCTGGCCTTGCCGTTCATAGTTTGGCTCTTGCTTCTACAAAATTCTAAAATGCGTTCAAAGAATAAATAAATAAACTGATTCGCATAAAGGGTGCTTTTTTTTTTTTTAATCAGTTTATTTTTTCAGCTGGGAGCTATCAAATTTGCTGAGTGATGCTCGTTTTCTTTTTTATAAAAATCGGCGAAGATAAGAGCTCGTGTTTTTCACTTAAACGACGTATATAAATGAAACATAAGAATTTGGGGAAACAGAAAAGAAAAGAAATTAATATATACGACTTTGAAAGCCGTTATCTGACTGCTTCGAAAGTCTGTAAATGTTGTAAGAATCTAAGATTATTTCTCTGTTACATATTTTTACTTATACATGAACATCAAAAATTGTTCAAAATATGATAAAAAATTAATAAATAAAAAATCTGATGTGTACACCACATGACTTCCTTGTACGGAATATTAATTATACGCATTTTTCTTGCATTTCGTTTAAACTTATTGAAACTTATTGGAAACGATTACCATAGCGACACTGTCGCTAGGTTCACTTAACAGCATTATATTTCGTTCATAT